GAATTACCAAAAAAAAAAAAAAAAGAAAATCCTACATCGTATTTCCACATTTATATCGTTTAATTTACCTTGCCTGTAACGGCGGACCACACTTTAAGAGTATTGTCGTCAGAACCGCTTACTATACGATTGCCAGAGAACTGGAGACAAGTGATGACGTGATCGTCATGCCCTTTCAAAACCTTTGGCGTGCGAATAGGTTTTGTTCTCCAGTTCATCTTTATGTTGTGTTGTCTCATATATGCCTGCTTCCACGGAGACGAACAGTTACCAGAATTCCTACAATTCTTACGTTTTGTCGGAGGCAGGTCCTTTAAATCTTCTATACCAGCTGCTCTACACTTCTCTTTCCACAATAAATTGTCGTCGGCAAGAAATCGCCAATTCCGGCATGTTTGAGCGGCACGTAAGAGATCCCTAGGTTCGAGGAAAGCTAATACCGACAAAGCCAATTCTTTTGGCAACAACGATATAAAGTCTCTTTGAAACTGAGGTTCGATAACCTGCATCATATGTCGTACTTGTGTTGGTTCGCACCGTTCGATTAATTCGTCTATAGCTAGCATTCTTTCTGCGTTTGACCATCTCTAGAGTTAGAAGCAATACCTTTAGTGCTTGTATGATTAAGAGCAAACAGGAGAATTTTCAAACAACTTGAGTTTTTTATACCTGAAACTGAAGAAGCCAATTATTCATTTCCGGTGGAGGATTATCTTTCGTTGGAATAACGCATCTTGTATGTTTGCTTTTGTCATCCAATTTCTTAACCATCCTAAAAATACAAAATTCAAGCGTTACGAGCTCTGTCATTGGAAAATCAAATTAAGCCTTCGCGATCATGTTTTTCTTTTTTTTCAAATCGCACTCACGTTGAATGGGATTTGTCTTCTGGGTTAAGCTTTTTACAAGGTAAACTCGGTTCAGTTTCGCTTTTACGCTTCCTCTGTGGCTGAACGACGTCCAAGGGTACGCATGTGTGTAAAACAGGACTGTGTACTCGATGCGAAAACGACTGTGGCTGCGATGATGAGAGTGAACATGTATTGCTATCAAGGTCAGGTTCGCAATCGGCATCGCAAAATATTCCGGCGTCACTGATCTGAAATTAAATTGGACCTCGTTGTATCAAGGTGTAAATATTTCCAAACATAATGTTCACAAAATAACGTAGCTCGTATAAAAACGATACTCGCTTCGCTGTCTTCTTCGCTACTGTCATCTTCTTCCTCTTCGCCATCTTCCCCGTAATCTTCTGATTCCTCATCCTGCGTTAACAGGGAATGCATAGGTTCTAAAGAACTAGGTCCTGGAACACCTTCGATGCCTTCGATAGGACTTGGACTTGTACCACCTGGTTTATTATCAGTTATCTTATTAGACGATGATGAAGGGACAGACATCACTTGGCTTATGTCCAATATATAATATTACCTGAATATAAAAGAAAATATTGCTTTTTATCTTCTCTCCTAGAAATAATTAGAAAATAACAGATATAGAAGTAGTTTTATTATTTTCAACATACATGTATAACAGTTTCTCAAAGCGATGACTTGTGCATAACATAAAAATTTGCTGAGCTCAAGATTTCCGATACTTGTGTTTTCATTGAAAATGATGTACTTGTTTCTCAAATTATGTTTCTAAAATCTTACGCGTATATATATATATACACACATATACGTATACACGTACGCACATACGAGAAATTACGTCAAGTATTTCCACTCGATAGATCGCGATCTATCAATCTGAGCAACCTGAAAATTGATAATAAAAGATCATCGTTCCAGACGTCTGTTGCGTCGCAACTCGTGCGTTATCAATTCTTCTCGATGAAAGTGAAATTTGAAGACTGATAAATCGAACGAAAGACATTGGAGTGATGTTTCAACGTTATTCTCGCGAATTTCCAACTCGAGAAATTTTTTAACCAAGTGTCAA